ACACTCGACGTCTTTTAACGGTTACTCATACTCAATGACTTTGTAACGGTTGTCACAGTGCTGCTGCTGCTGATGGTCAAATCTGTAAGTGAAGTGCCTTGCTCAATGGTACCTCGGTAATAGTAGCTGTCAGCTGGTTACTCTCATTCATACTGAACAGCTATTTAAAGTTAGTGAGCGAGCGTTAGCTGACAGCCACCGCTGGTGTCAGGTAATGGCAGTCAGCAGGCCAGGTGTGGGGTGGGACAGAAAGCCTTATAATGGAGTCTCTTTGGGGGAGCTTGAAGTAAAGGAAGCACACTTACAAACACTAACTTACAATTGTGGGTTAATAAGCTGAATTGTATTACATTGTTAACTAACATGGACATATTTTTAACAGAAGACACCCTATAGAATACATTTAATAATAAAGTTAAAACAGTTATTCCGATAGTTGCATGCGAAGCAATAATCCAAATATAAAGTGAATGTTGATGAAATATACAAGACATATTTTAAACATAGACACATAATAAACATAAATCATTCTGCCACAATGAAATACATTAATACAGGGACGTTTAGAAGCACTTTTCCAAAGCAAAATGTGTCAATAAAGTTACAGACACTTAAAGAGGTGGTCATCTTTGCATGATGCAGGTGTAGAGATAAAATAAGAAAAACATCTGCAATGAAGGGAAACGACTTTAAAATAGTCACAGCATTTAACCCAGAAACAGTTTCCACAAAGAGGAACAGCAGTCACAAGTTGAAACTAAGCAACAGAGATATGATGAACGTGCACAATTGAACAGGGTCACTGGTGCTAATCATGGTTAGATAGATGAGCAGTTTTCTGTCCTCACCAGGACACAGCCCTGACATTTTGTTGTACTCCGCTTCAGTAATTAGGCACTAAATTAGACCCATGATGCTTGGTAAATGTGATTATTGGTGCCATCCGGTTCCTTAAGTGTTGTTGACCACGTCTCCCTTGTCTTCTTACAGGAGGTGGAAACCTTGACGGCCCACTGGAACCTGTACATCAGTCTTGGAGGATTTTCTGTAGGCCTGTTAGTGGTGCCTCTCCTGGGCTCATGGAGTGACCTCGCCGGTCGCAGACCTGTCCTCATCCTGCCCAACCTGGGCCTGGCCCTGCAGGCGGTGGTCTACCTAGTGGTGATGTACCTGAAGCTACCTGTCGTCTATTTTCTAGTGGGCAGGCTACTTAGTGGCCTTTCGGGTGATTTCAACGCCATCCTGGCCGGCTGCTTCTCATATGTAGCTGACACCAGCGACAGCAGGTCCCGCACCTTCAGGGTGGCGGTCTTGGAGGCTTGTCTGGGCCTTTCAGGGATGCTAGCCAGCATCATCGGAGGGCAGTGGCGGCGGGCACAAGGGTAAGAAATGGGTCATGTATCTACAGAAGTATTGGTATTAGTAGTACAGTGCAGTTCTGAATTGTTAATCATTATCGTTGTATTTTTGTGCCTTTTTATTTAGGTACATCAACCCATTCTGGCTGGTCCTGGCCACTAACTTGGCCTCGGCTCTGTACGCTTACCTGTTTGTCCGTGAGTCTGTCCTGCCAGACCCAAGTGTCAAGCTCTTCAGCTCTCGCCACTATAAAGCTGTCTGGCACCTCTTCTCAACAGGAGGCAGTGAGGGGAGTGGCAGATGTAAGCTGTGGCTTTACGTGCTGTGTTTCTTTCTGGTGGTGACTGTACACTTCGGCAGCAGGGAGTTGTATGTGTTGTATGAGCTCAGCTCACCGCTGTGCTGGGGGCCGGCTCTCATTGGATATGGATCAGCAGCTCAGCACCTGGCCTACCTTACCAGTCTGCTGGGGCTGAAGATCATGCAGCGATGTCTGGCGGACTCCTGGGTGGCTCTCGTGGGTCTGGCCTCCAACATCACTGGGCTGGTGGTCTTCTCTGTAGCTGACAGCACGCAGCTCATGTTCACAGGTGAGACAATGTGGACACGTTTTATAAAGAACTTAGATGTGAATGGGTTTTATGTCTAATGTTTTTTTTTTTGTTCATAAACAAAAGTAAAAGTACAAGATGAAGCCAAGGTCCGATTACTCCACTATTACGCACAGAAATCAGTAATTATTAAGCCTTTATAAGGTATGTTGACATAAGTGACTAACTAAAACCCTTTCCTGGGATTTTCCTTTGCACTAAACTTGCAGAGTATATCCATTTAATCACATTACACTGCAATTGAATACGTCCTTTTTACCTTAACCTCCTTCTGCTTTCCCAGCTCCACTAAAGGTTTTGAGAGCGCGCACACTTTTTTTTAGCCACAGCTGAAAGTAATCTCACATTATCAGGCAAACGCTGTCATGCCGTTACAGCTCAGCAAGCGACAGACTGAACAGGTTGTGTACGTTAGCTACCTTGAATACCAGGCAATAAAAAACTCAGCAGTTCGCCGCTCGTAGCCAACATTAACCACAAACTGCAATTAGGTTTTTTATCAGATTGTAAAGCGGTTGCACAATACGTTTTATTGATGGTGTTTATTTTTCTGTCACCAGGTTACGGTCTGTGTTTTCTCTTCATGGCTGCGACACCTGTTCTCAGGTCAAAGCTGTCCAAGTTGGTGGACCCATCCGAACAAGGTCAGTCACTGAACATGTACACATACTACAACAACAGACCGTCTTTAACACAGCAATAATTTCAAGCTGTGAGGATTATATTGGGGAGAAAGAATATTGTTTCCTTGTTACTAAATGCTCAGGAACACATCTGGAAACGAGAGCTATCAGTGTGACAGCTGTGTAGCATTTGAATGAGTCGGTGAATTGTAACGATTATAATTAGATCCGTATTATAATGACGACAGCTTGTGTCCTGCTAATTGTATAAATGGTGGTGTGTGTGTGTGTGTGTGTGTGTATTCTTTGTTCCAGGTGCTCTCTTTGCGTCTGTTGCCTGTGTGGAGAGTTTATGTTTTCTGGTGGGCAGTGGCCTCTTTAACTCCCTCTACCCAGCCACACTGCACTTCATGAAGGGTTTCCCCTTCCTGTTTGCTGCCTTCATCCTCTTCATCCCCGCTGGGATAATTGGGTGAGTTTGCTCTTGCCCCCGTTGCCCTAACTGACCTCACCAGCAAACACATCATAACTTCTACTCCTCCTCCTCATTATTATGATTATTACATACAGTATATTATAAATGAACAGCAGTTTGTCTTTCTAGGACCCTGCAGTGTTTCGACCAGAGGAGAGGCCACAGAGACTCGACAGCATCCTGACCTGAAGGGAGGGTTCAGTCTATGAGGTGAGCAGCTCTGAGACGTCCATCACATCATCTGTGATGCTGAGAGACTTCTTGACCGTAACACATTGACGGGCAGCTGACCGTTGTTAGCTAGCTCAGCGATGGGATTCTTCCAACAGGTCACACCAAAGTGATCAAGACCAAAGGATGAAGAATCAACCTCCTGACTGTCATTACAGTCTTTGCATAGTCCTCTGATAATGAACAAGATCCGATACTTGCTTTCATTTTGTGATTTGATATATTTCCAATACGACGTAATGAGTGCCAAAGATTGTGCTTTACATTTCCATTTTGAATGTCAGTAAATCTTAATGACACACTACAGGTGAAGAATGTGTCATATCAAGCATGGATGCAAAGTCATGTGTTTTCAGACACAGGTGATTTAAGTACAGTAGTAATCAGTAAGTAATCACTAAGGTTGACATCCTTGACACAATAATGATTCATATTTTTATGATATTAATGATGGAACGATTTTGATCCATCACGATCCAGCTTGCTGGACTGTAACACAAAAACATTGAACACGGATCTTCTGATTGTTTTTGTTTAACATATTTCTGTGTATTTATAACAACAGGTATCAGGACAACATGTGGAAAGGGATTATGACAACAGTGGGTTTATACGCAGCTCAGTAGTGTGAAACATTTTCTGCTAGCCTGCTGTTATAATGTTGTTTATTAGTTTGAATGTTTTTATTGAATCAGTCAAATGCTGCTGCTCCTTTATTTATGTACAAAAGCCAACCACCGCTGTGAAAATAATAATTTCGTAACAAAAGTGCTATCAAGTGAAGAGAGAAAGCCTCACTTGTAGCCTAAAACCTTTCAGAAGACAAACCACGTAGTTGTTCTATTGAGTTTTATTCCAGAAAGGGATGTATAAGATATATTCTAGTTTGGCTTTGAGATATGTTTTAAATCTAAATTGTCACTCATTGGGGTCATATAGAATGAGTCACGGTTATGATATTTTCACTTAAAGTAAGATGAACCATTCTGAATGAATAACTAATTTGGAGCAAATACAAGTTCAGAAACCGACCTGTGATTGTAGCACATTTTGTATTCAGTATATAAGATCAAGCTATTTCTAGCCACCTGTTCACCTCTGTGTGCTCCTTTATACTTCTACTGTACTACATTACAGTAGCAAATATTATACTTTTTACTCCTCACTACCTACATAAGTTACTACTTAAATTGTTTTGTTTTTTATAGGTTAAGAGAAGACTATTGATCCCCAGGGGGAAATTCAAGAGCTACTCAGCCTTACTTATAGTAGTTGAAATGAGACCCACCTTTAGCAGCTGTAGTCCAATAAGATCATTTGCAGAATGGTCTATATTCTGAATAATAAGTACTCGTATTGTTTACTTATATTTTTTTTTACCTTTTTAACTTGAGTATTTTTACACTGTGGTATTGCTACTTTTATTTCAGTAAAAGATCTGAGTACTTCTGTTTGCACATTTGAGGCCACATTAAGGGCTATACCAAATCTGTTGGTAGAAGTTTTCTCTAGGACCCTCAAACAGTGGCGTCAGTATCTGAGATTCCTGCTATCACACTATGCAGATCATCTGTGCCAAACCTGTCCAAACCCAACTATAAGTAATCCACAGAAGAGAGACTGAAACTGTAGCCGCAGCCAGGGATTACTGAGTTACCCTTTGACCCTCCCTCCTATTTCCATAAAGCAGAGAGCACAGTCCAGACTCCCTCCAGAGTCCCACCACCAACAACAACAACACTCGATAGTCCCAAAGCACAGGCCCACAGCCAACATGCACACAGAGGTCGGGTCTTAGTCGCACAGTGAGGGAACGAGAGCTGCCGAATCAGCTTTAAAATGCACAAAGGGAAGTTTGGAGGTCAAGAAGTATTAACTCAGATAATGTGAATTGATCTGCATGAAGATTATTTTTGACAGTGGGTGGATCATGTGGTCACAGCCGTTCTTCAGACGTTCCTACAAGTGTGTCTATTCTTCATTGTGCAATATTTGTAAGTTGCAATCATTGTATTTATTGGAATATGACTGGATCATTTTGGATACTTTGTGATAAAGATGGTGATTGATTACATTTGTTTCTGTCACACATAATGAAGTTCAAATAAAGACTTTCATTGTAAAATGTTGTATAACACATTTTATTTGACCATATTTCAAATGAAGGGAACAAATTATGTTTGTTTTACACTGAAAACATTAAAAAAAACATGATAAAAAATAAAATCTTGTTCTACTTCTTGAAAAAAGTTGATGTCAATTACACAGAGCGTATTTAATAAATGAGGTGGACATTGGAAGCAATATTAAGGTCAGATAAAAGCCCTGCAGTTGCATTCAGCCTATAATAATATAATTTTATTGAACAATATGTGGAAAGACATCTTGATGATTTGCAAAACTTAAATGTTTCATCACGCCTTTATTTCAGCATCATCAACGTTTTTTTTATATCATATTGCTAATTTCTTTTTGTTTTTACTTCTATTAAATACGCTGAGGGAACAAGGATGACATTTCTGTTGCAAAGCCAACAATTAAATACTTGATATTTAATAATCACAGTTAACAGTGTGGCGAATGACACCTCAAGTCAACAGCATTAAAGTATATTATGTTACGTTGTAACAGCGGGCAACGAGACACGCTGTAAGGAGTTAACTGCATTTTTGAGTACTGTAAGTTAATGTACATCAATTCAAAGTTATATCCACTTTCACAGAAAAAATGTTTAATACTACATGGGTATTTGTCCTTAAATCTGTGGCTAAATCAGTGGTGCAGCTTGTAGCTCTTTTTTCTCTGTACAGTAAGTCTCATAGATTGGGGCATAGATTATGCCCACAATCAATGCATCTGCTAGGAACAGTTTCTTATCTATCACATAACATAACAACACAAACGTCAGTAAAATCAGAAACCTGCTTTGGTCCTGTGAAATGTACAATATACGAACAAAAGATGATTGCATACAACTTCTATGAAATCTGACGTGTTAGTGGATGCTTCAGAAAATGCTGTTGATGATTTTGCTGGGTCCCAGTGTTGGCTGATCTATCACAGTTATTTTCCTGAGAGACAGAAGGCGTATATTGTACCTGATTACACATATAGAGAAGTGTGCGGGTACCATCATTTAAAGGCTTACAGTTTATTATATACAATCTGAAATCCCTTTTTTAATTTCCATTATTGTTTGCAATATATTGGGTCTATTTATATTAGCTATTTGTGTGAGCATGTAAACTAATCATAATCAAATTCACTTCACATGCGTTTGGGCAGAGCAGGGGAAGCTGCCGGCCAGTTCACCGTCGGCCATGGGGAATTTGGCATCATTGAAAATTATTATAGCTGAGATCAAACTCCGTATATGTCATTTATTATCTCATTCTTTCTTTTTCTCCTCTTTGGAGGCGCCTGGGCTGTCCATTTGGTCTTGGTGTCCATTCAGAAAGCGTAGGATCTTCTCGATCGTGGCCTCCTGATACTCATGGGACCATCTGTGTCAAGTAAAGGCAACAGGCATTTGATGATTATAATATATATTTTAAGTGCTCTCTAATGGATATGTTACAGATCTGCACCTATTACAGACAATAAAAAGTTAACCCATGTATTCAGAAATGATTCTTTAAAGAAATAAAACTATTTTATTTCTTTAAAGAATAATTTATTATGCTTTATGCTTTAAAGGATTAGTAAAGGGACTACTGTATAGTTATCACACAACCACATCTCTTAAATGAGTCAGAACAGGTTTTTCCCTCCTAATTAAAGTTTACATTCGGTTCACCACATAACCATGTAATAAACATTTTGAAAACATGCAGCTGCACAGTTGGGCTAACCGCAAGGTTAATTTGAGTTTTCACTTACTTGATACCATTAAATTTGAGAATTGCTCTCATGTCCTCCGGCAGACACATGGGGTCGGGCCATGTGAAATTATCTGTGACAGGAACTATGTTCTTCTTGCCAGCCAAGGCTGTGACAATCTCCTGCAAGATTAATGATCATGTCTTTGAGTCAATGACATTTTTATAGATGTGTAAAAGCACAAATGACTCCTGCAAAAGACAAAGACTAGTGACATTTTCTGATCCTGCTGCAAGAAACTATGACATTAACATGCATTTTGTATGCCTAAAAGTAGCTAGTAGTCGACATCACAGATGCATATTAATAGTATTAGTATTAGTAGTATTCTAGCTAACACTGTAAAGCTCTATAAATATAAATGTGGAATATCGTGGTAGGGTTAAACTTAAGGTGTGGTAGAATTACAGTACTAAGCAATAATTAGATTTAATGAGTCCCTCACATGCAAGCAAATGGAAAACTTTTGACCTTATGAACCCAATCCTTCATGGCAGTGTCACCCATGCATTTGTCGAGTGCATTTGAGGACAGGACCAGGATGAAGTTACGTGCCCTCTGTACACTCTGAATCAGTTTGTCCTCGAATTTACCAGCTTCAAGCTTCTCCACATCTATGAACACGCTGTATCCTCGAACCTGCAGGTGCACCTTTAAAAGGCTTGGGTCAGGGGAGAAAATACATTTTAAAGATGAATCAAGACATTACATATGACTTATGTCACCCTGGTTCTAATTCAACCCATGTTCTCCTGAATGACCACCTTTTCCACTAAATCTGTTTCAGTTCTGACCTGGCCAGCTGTGAGCCGGTAGTCCGACGGTAGCTGATGAACACGTCGGGCCCTGCAGGCTGGGCGTCTGTGAGGCACGCTTTTAAGGGCTTGCGGCAACAAGAAAGCATCTTGGCTCTGTGGACTCCGTTGTCTATGTGGCAGTCGTGCTGGAGCTGCAGATCGGTCAGGTCCTGGACGTTGTTGCGATCCACCCCTGACTGGACCAGGCCGTGGGTGTACTGACGGAAACGAGGGTCCACCTCCACTAACCAGTCGGCCATATTGGTTGGATCACATGTAGAGTAGTTGGCATAAGTCTTCAACACGCGCAAGTCTCTCAAAAACCTGGAGGATGAGACAGAACAGAGGTGTTACATTGCTCAGCCTTTAGAAACCTCTGTTGAATGGTTTGTTCCACTTGCCTCTTGCGAGTGAGGCCTGCAGTCATGCCCAGATCAGTGAACAGATCCTGGTCTGTGATGTTCAGCAGGAGGTCTCCATCCACCTGGAGCTCCTACACAGTAAGATGGTTAGAAAATGTCAGACATATTCTATATTAGGTAGATCGTATTTATCTCTCTGTTGAGTAACAGAATCAGAATCAGAATCAGACTCAGAGTTGGGTTTTTACACGTACAAAGGAATTTGTCTTGGTGCATTGGTGCATAAAAATCACACAAAACAAACAAAACTGTTTAACTTACCTGGAAACGCTCACAATAGGCACTAAAGCCAATCTGCTGCAGCCAGGTCTGCACTCCACAGGTTTTCCAGTTGGGCACACATGACGGGATACGTTTCGGCACTTCTTCTCCCATCATGCTCAGTGCCCGCTTGGCGAGGCCAGAGGCTGTGCTATTACTTGAATACATGACGATTCTTTTTAGGCTCTGCACTGCTCCGATCTCTTGAAATATCTTGGGAGAAGGACAAATTAAAGTCACAGTCACAACGAAGCTACCAGACAGTGTTACCTAACATTTTGTGGAAGGTGGGCAGCGATTGTACCTTGGTGTTTCGCTGACGAGACTTGATGCTGGTCTCAACGCAAAGGTAAAAGGCTGCAATGCACTTTCCCTCCAACCTCGTCCCATCAAGTAATGGCAGAAGATGCTGCAGATCAGATGCCGTCCTGCCTTGCATGCAGTCTGCACTGTCCAATAAACTGCGGGCAAAGTCATCCGGATCCAAAGACGCGATGAATGGCTCCACCAGCTCCAAGGTTCCAGATTTCACCACCTCCTTCTCAATTTCTCTGTTTGCAGCTAACACAGTCACAGCCAGACATGCGTGGAATCGAATGAGTTCATCCTCTTTGGAAAAAGCCAGTGGGAAAAGCCACTCAGCCGCCTGTTTCTCGATCATCAATCTCTGGCAGTGGTGGCCGCCGTACATGGCACAGTTTGCTAGAGCCACAGCACAGTGGCGCAGCACGGTGGGATCTGTACCTCGGCACCAGAAGAGGAGGGCATCCAGGGCTCCGTTAGAGATGAGGTGGATGGATGTCTCCTCAGTGTGTTTGAACATGTGCTCCAGGATCCCCGAGACACTGCGAGCCAGCTGTGCATCTTCCTGCTGTCGAGTCAGGTTGAGAATGACCCCCAGACCCATACGTGCTAAATAATCTCTGTCAACAGAAGTGTGTAATATAGAGAAAACAAACTTGACTCATACAATCAATTCTACAGTAAACAGATACTCCTGAACAAATGAGGCATACACAGGCATATATGGGCTGTTTGGTAACAACCAAAGTCATCAATCAACTAGTGCTGAAACAATTAGACAATTAATGAATCATTTGTTTTCACTGTAAATTAAACATATTTAGCTTTTTACTGCTGGTTGGACGCAACAAGAAACTTCTATATGTCATTCTACATTTCTGTGATGGGTTTTTCACAGTTTTCAAACATTTTCTAGATGATAAAGATATAAGGTCAAATAAACAGATATATAAAGAGGTGGACACAAAAATATGAATACTGCCTTTACCATTTACAAGCCAGTAAAAACAACCTTGCAACAACCTGTAAAGCTGTAAGAGTTTAACTTCTTGTTGCGACTGTGAGAGGTCATTATGTTTTTGTTATCCTGGCTAGATCATATGGCAGAAATATCAACTATTGCATCATGTTGCCTGATATTGTGAGTTTCTTGTGTTGTTTTCTCCATCCCTGTACAAAAAAACTGTAGATGATGCAATTAAATACAAACAATTAATGCCCCCAAACTACCTTAGACTAATTAAAACATCTCAGCAGAAACATCATAATCTTTAAAATGTTGTTTATTGCAGAGCTGCTGTATTAGACTGTATCATAATGTAAAAGTGTTCACGTTATTTTGTCCACCCCTACACACACGCTACCTGTTATCTGAGATCAGGATCTGCTCCAGCAGTTTTGCAGACTCATAGGTGATCTCCACAGCAGGTATCTGTTGAAGCTGTAGCAGCAGCTCCAGGCCTCCATCCAGCCGGATCCTGGTGCAGATCTCCTCGGCCACCTGACGGCCTACGGTGGGCAAGACCCAGGCCTCCTCCACCAGCTGGAAGATCTCCGCGATGGCCCTGCGGGTGTCACCTGGATGAGAGTTGTCCTTCCCTGACTTCAGCCTCCTGATGGCGCAGCGCAGGGCGGGGAGCGAGGTGTCCAAAACCGACTGGACGTCGGCGCTGATGCCCGGAGAGACCGGTCTGGGGTCGGGACCGGAGCCGCTCCTCCCTCTCTGCAACCGGCTGACATAATCGGGCACCGTGAGTCTGTCCGAGCTGAACATGATGGAGAAATGTCGGTAGAGCCTCCACAGGAAGAGGGTCAGAGAAAAGAGCATCTACCGGCAGAAAGGCGTCGGTATCAGAGTGGATGATGAGATGTGTGTTTGTTTACAACGCTCGTATCCAAGTCAGTGATTTACAGTCAGCTGTCCGCCTGGTAAACACTGCTACAGATGCGTCAACACAGGCCTCAGCTGTAAATCAATAGTGACAGCTTTCACCAAATTGCATCACCTCTCTCTCTCTTTCTCTGTGGCAGTAAGCCCATAAACTGTCATAAGCAGATCTTGAGCAGGTCGCAGTGTGTCTGCGCATAGTCCTGCCTCAACAGATGCTGCTTTGTCTCTATTGTCCCACCGACTGGCCAACTGAATGATGATTCAAAGCCTTCACAGGATCTGTTGACAGAAGTGTCCTCAAACAGACAACATCCCAGCACTCTGCACCGCAAACTGAACGCCCGGGGAGGCAAACCCGGTTGGTTTTCCTGAGAAGAAAATACACTATTGTTGTGTCTCTTTCATTCGTTGTTGAGGTTTTGCAGACAAAAGAAGGCCTCGTCTTCAAGTACAGGTTATCTGACGCACTGTAACGGCTCGTGTCTCCTGAACAAAAAAATACAAAATATCGCATATCATCACCATGTCCGACCTATCGCATCCTTTCGGTCAGCATCCGCAGGCTGTCAGCATCTTCAGGGGTCTGCACCGCCCACCGGCTCCGGATACTACCGGGGATGAACAGGAAAAGGAGCATCCCCCACCCCTTGTTGTTCCTCTTCCTCCCCTCCCTCCACCCTGCAGCCGGTCAGAGCATGCTCACCGTGCCCATAAACACTGCAGGCCCTCTGCTGGAGCAACTGGAGAAAGACCTCTGAGCCACACCATGTTGTTCTGTACACAATTTCTGTGATGGTTGTTATGACTAATATTGCTATTTAATTAAGTAAATGCCTTAAGTTGAGTTATATCACTAGACTCTCTCACTGAGTTTGAGTTGGCTAACACAGTTTAATGTATTTAAAGGAACATAAAGAGAGAATATGACTGTAAGCAGAGGTGGCAAAGTTACATATATTCTTTACTCAAGTAAAAAAGATAGTAAAATAGTATATATAAATGGAGAAATACAGATACTTGTGTGAAAGTGCCGGTAAAAGTAGAAATATTGATTCACGTAAAAGTGGAAAATGCTCTGAAATATACTCAAAATATAAAAGTAAAAAGTAATACTATATAATAAAATAATAATAAAAATAGAGAATTGAAATCAGAAATACTTTATTGATCTCCAGGGGGAAATTGGTTGCATTGCTCAAGTTGCTAAACAAAGACATTATAAGAAATAGAAATAATAATAATAAAATATGTGCATTAAATTACAATATATAACAATAAATAGTAAATAAGATGTTCAAAATATATATTAGGTAACAGCAGTATAATGAATAATGACTAAATACTGATAATGCTTGAGAACTGAATAGGTGTGTTATAGAACAGTTTATTTAAAGGCCAGTTTTATTGACTAATGACTAACAGTGTCTGACACTCTGAGGGAGGAGTTGAAGAGTTTGATGGTCACAGACAGGAATGACTTCCTGTGGCGCTCTGGAGAAAATCAGTACTGTTCTGAAACAAGATGAGCTGAGTGACTTTGATCCAGTCCAGAGAGAAAAATCATGGAGGAGTATTTAGAGTTTCCCCACCAAAATGTTTCTTCAGTGTGTGGAGAGGACACGGTTTAGATCTTTACGCTGGGAAATATAACTTAAAAAGAAAAATAAAAGTAAATAAACAGTTAACTAAATAAATGAAATATTAAGAGTCAATGTAGTCTACATAAAACTATGTAGAGGTTGTATTTCTGGTGGAGAGAGGGGAAGTAAAATATATGATTACAGATTTTAAAAAGTACTTCAAAGGACACAAATATAATATTTGAGATGACAATGAGAGTACTTGAAATTAGTTACTTCCTGTCCCTGATTTTAAGTCAGTATCAAGAGCTTTCAAAGCAAGCTATAAGCACTATAAACAAATACTTATATTTGGTCAGAGGTGACTAAACTGTGTCACTATGGGCTCAAATTCTTCACATTCAGCAACGGAGAGAGACATCTTTAACAGGTTATTATGGTGAAAATTGTTAGATATTTGCAGCAAGTTTCAGTTTCTTTGAAGCTTTAAATGTCATGGTTAGGGTGGAGAAAAAGTGAAGTAAGCTCTTCTTTATTAGCTCTTAACACTGTGTTAAAATGTTTTATGAGATCTGGCAGCAGGCCGGTACTTTGCTCTTGTGTCTTTATTGTGTCTTCAGAGCTGCATTCATGACTAGTCTCATCCTGGAGGCAAGTAATAACACAAAAATAACACAGGATCTTGCTGATTGATGAGCATTACTCAAAGTGCAGAGAGAAAGTCACTAAATGACTGACAGATTGCAGTAAAATGCAGGAGCAGCGTGGTCAGAGGTCAACAGGTGGTCACATTGCTTAAACCTTTGTTTCCTATCGATCTCTTTCCCTCTGTGTGTCTCTGTTTCTCCACTCGAGTAGAAAGAGGTTTTCAAATAAGGTTAAAAGCAAACAAGGAAGAGGGTGACTGACACATGTTTCAAATGATTGGAAGCACACGGCCCATCATTACTTCTCTCATTCTGTCCTCTCACACAACAGAGGCAACATGAGGCTGTGGGCCGTCCTGCTGCTGGCTCTGCTCGCTCAGACTTTTGCTGCAGACGGTGAGTACAACATTAAAAAATAAGTTTTAAAGTTCAGAAAAGGATTTGTAGTAAGTGGTTGTTATTCATCCTTTAGTATAGTTTTGTCATGTTACAGACATACTTGATAGATCTGTGACTTCACTGTGTGTCAAGTTTTCTGATTTAGAGTCTGTATATTGTTCCGTTCTGTCAGCAGCTAACATATTGGATACTAAATCAACACTTAACAGTATTTATTCATTACATTTTTCATTTATTTAACCGCATAAAAAATAGTGAAAAATGCCCTTCACATATGGGCATAACACAAAGCAATGATTTAAAATAGCTTGTGCCGTCTTATCATCAGTCCACAATCCAAATGTATTCAGATTTTATTATATAAAACAGTAAAGAACAGCAAAAAATCATATTTATGAAGCTGGAATGTGAATGTTTGGCATATTTGCTTGATAAATTACCGTCAAGTAAGTATCAAAATAGTTGTTATGTGTCAATTAACTTATTATTACAGCACTTACTACAATTATACAGTTATAACAGGATATAATAAGCAGCCGTTAAATATACAGAGCCAGCTAAAATGATAGGAAAAATACCATTAATAATAAAGAATAACAGATCCCATGATGCCACTGGCATGCTGTCAAAGCCTCATGGGAACTGTAATCAAATCAAATCCAATTTAACTTTATTATCCAAAGAAGGAAATGTATTTGGTCTAAGAATACTCAGAAGAAGTGCAAAAAAACCGACCATCCGTCCATTTTCTTTATCTTCTATCTTCAGAGTCTTGTATGGGTCACTGTGAGAATGGCTTTGACGCCCAGAGGAAGTGCCAGTGTGACTCCATGTGCAAGTATTACAAGAGCTGCTGCTCTGACTTTGAGGCCACCTGCGGGATGATGAGTGAGAAAACCTCATTTGTTTAAAACCATGTGCTGTTGTGAGTTAAATGACGGTCACTGATGGCACTTTCCACCCTTAGCTCGGGGAGACACATTTGTGCTTGCAGAGGATGATGATGAGCAGTTTGAAGGTACCACTCCATCCCCTAGACGCTCTTTTACCCCCATCAGTCATCGTCTGCAGCCCTCGCAGCGGCCCATCTCAGACTTCGGCCGTAGATCACATCCGGAAACCACACTGGAAATGACCAAACCAACTCAACTGAAAACCCCCTTTATGCAGATGACACCCATTTCTCAGACAGTCCCACCTACGCAGGACATCCCCAGCACGACTGAATTCCCTCCGACTGAGGCAGCCACTGAGGCAGCCACTGATGTGACCACTGTTCCCACCACTGTTCCCATCACAACAGCCACCACTGAAGCCCCTGACCCAGACGCTGTGGTCTGCAGTGGGAGATCTTTTGACTCCTTCATGCAACTAAAAAATGGCTCCATATATGCCTTCAGAGGTGAGTGAATATTCAAATATAGTAATCTGACACTTGATGAAAAGCAACAAAGTCTACTTTTTGCTGTAGAGAAAATGAAGCATAAGATCTTTATGTTGTTGGGGAACATGCTTATGTGTTGTTTTTTTTCTAGGGGATTACTTTTTTGAACTGGACCAAAAGTCAGTGCTTCCTGGTTATCCAAAGCTCATAAAGGACGTGTGGGGCATCAGCGGGCCCATTGATGCTGCCTTCACCCGTGTCAACTGTCAAGGGAAGAGTTATATGTTCAAGGTGGGGACCCATGAAATGAGCTTGTATTAATCTGAGCAGTTACAGGTTTATCATTTTCATGTTTAAACAAATCAAAACTTTCATCAGGGAAACAAGTACTGGAGGTTTGATAATGGTGTGCTGGATGATGACTACCCTCGAGATATCAGCGTGGGCTTTGACAAGATCCCTGATCACGTGGATGCAGCGTTTGCTCTGCCTGCCCCCGGTCACAACGGAAAAGAAAAGGTCTATTTTTTCAAAGGTACGCCACAATATATTCAGATATTTCTACAGGAACTGGTATACCAGTAACATAAAGTTACTTAAATGTGGCATCTTATTGGTTCTTCCAGGCGATCAGTACTACACCTACGAGTTTCTGCACCAGCCGTCTCACGAGGAGTGTATCACCATGTCTGAGAGGTCTCCGTCCACACTGTTCAGACGGTACACTGACGTATACTACAACAACTACGAGCATTTCTTCAGCGAGCTCTTCTCTGAATGTGAGTTGTGGTGTTAATGATGATTGGTGCTTGTTTGGAGGTTGGAGGCAGGTGTACAGCTCATTGGTTTATCTGACCCCTCTTTAGTGCCTCAGCATCATGACAAACACCACTTCATTGAGAAGGACTGGAAGGGCCTCAAGTCTCCAGTGGATGCTGTCTTGACAGGCAGAATGTACGTCCCTCCGTTGAGGTCCACGAGGCGCCGCAACGACTACCAGCCTTACCAGCAGTGGGGTCAACAACAAGGCCAGCAGTGGAACCAGCAGTACGGACAGCAGTGGGGCCGTCGGAGGCAAAGCCGTTCACCCTTCTGGGGGTCCATAGCTGAGAGGGGGATGAACATGGGCCAGGACTTTGCAGAAAGGGGGATGGAAATGGGTCTGAGGTTGGCAGAGAGGAGGATGGAACTGGAGGAGAGGCTCGGACGAGACTGGGACAGACGCTGGGATCAGGACTGGGACCAGGATAGGCGGAGAGATGGTTACCGCCAGAACAACAGAGGCAACTACGACTCCAGAGGTGACAGGTCGTACTTGGAGCCCACCCAGAGGAATATGCCAATACAAACCGTCTACTTCTTTAAAGGAGGTAAAGCAGCAGGGGCAGATTCATTAGCAGGGCAGTTTGTAAAAATAATAGAAAAACAGACAAAAAAAAGACACAGACAGTATTTTCTCCTCTAGTTACAACACATCCAAAAGCTCTTGCTTTTCCATCCTTTTTTTGGAGAAGATGTACTTTACTCTACCATAATCTGAGGATCATTTGGGCAGCAGTGACAACTCCTACCGTTATCACTGCATAGTCATATTTCTATATATTCTGTTTGGTCCCCCAGTTGGTCTATTCTTGGTAAAACAGGTAATTCATTCAACTTTTAGACCTCAGGATGGTCCAGTTGGACCATCAAGCAAATATCAAAGCAGTTTATGTCAATTATGTATTTGTTTCAGCTCTAGTTACAATATGAATTCACAGATGCAGTACAAACGCACACGTAAAGACAAGCTGTACAACGTCGTCTCAGTACGTTCCTCCTTTGTACCTGCTCACTCCTCCCGTCCTTCCAAAATAAAAATACCTCTCTCTTTTCCCAGGAACATGTTTCAGCTTTTTTAGACTTAGAATTATGAAAGAACCCCTCTGTGAGATGAGTTAAAGATGGGATAGTGGACAGGAGCTCAGTAATTTAATCAAACTTAGGTCTGTCTAGCCACAGACGGCTTATTATAACTAGTTTCACATGGTGTATTAGTCCACATGACAAAGAAACAGACGCAGGAGCTCTTTACTCGCACTCCTTGTGTATTCCTGCACGATTATCAGTAGATATCAGTTTTATGAGTGATTAATAAATAAGTGTTTGATGTATGTTGACAGTGGTGACAGCTCCAGACTGCTGTTATGTTATGTTTACTGGCTGGGAGTTGGCTTTAAGGTCAGCAACCATGAGCTGCTCCCACAGATAAAAATGCCCGATGTCTAGACTGGACTCAAGAGAGGGGAGGGGTTTCATAGATATAGACTTCATAGGACCTACCACTCCTCTTAAGTCATCCATAGAGGAAGAATGAATGCGTTGTTTTACATGTTTTCCAGATAAATACTACAGAGTGGACCTCAGGAGCAAGAGAGTCGACCCCGCCGTGCCTCCATATCCCAGATCCATCGCCAAGTACTGGCTCGGCTGTTCAGACACCAACGGGGCAGAGAAGTAGTTTCACATGTTTTTAGTTATCTTAATATGGTCATTTTGATTAGATTTGTGTATAACCAATCATTAATTTGACCTGAAGTAGTGTTTTTTGTAAGAAAGTGTGTCAAACCTGTCCAGTGTAAACTAACTGTTCTTCAGCAAATATTGGAGATCAGTAGTCCACACACCGCTCATAAAGGCTAAAGTTCAGCTGGTAGATTGTAAGATTCTCATCTCTTGTCAACAACAGCCAACCTACTTTATTAAACTGACTGTAGTGAAAATGGCCTCAAGTTATTTAACCAGAAGAGATTCCAGACTCACAGCTTCTCGTTTAGTTTTTTGTATCATAATAATGAGGAGTTTGTTACATCAGTGGTGGAAGGTAATGAAGTACTTTTACTCAACTACTGTACTTTATTGCAGTTTTGAGGTACTTTTACTTGAGTATTTAAATATAATGCTACTTCATACTTCTACTAGAGGGAAATATTGTACTTTCAACATTTATCTGAAACCTATAGTTACTTTGAGATTTTAAATACAACACTTATAATCAACTTATAAAATATGATGATCATTAGAGGTCAAACTAACCAAAGTCATAGAAATGAGCTCCACCCTAATGTGTGAATTCATCAGTAATAATATATTCCGTTAATATGATACATATGTCACTTTCAGAGGCCTCTCTTGTGTGTGTACTTTTACTTTACTGTTAATACTTTTATAGCTTTACCTAAGTGTCATTTTTAACGCAGGACTTTTACTTGTTTACAGACTATTTTTGCAGAGTGGTATTTGCTACTTTTACTAAAATCTTTCATTTTGTGTTGATTCTGGCGCCCCCCCCGTGGACAAAAGTAGTAGTGTTTCTACTGCCTTGTTTCATTGATTTTAAGAGGAATCCGATTGAATTCCACCCGGTGGCAGTAATTAAGAATAACTATATAGAAAGAGCAAATCTTATTGCTGATGGTCTTGTTTGCTTATGTAGGTCATATAAAGGCATCAGTATTACATTTAGACGGTTACATATTACATAACCAGTTAAAAACTCCTTGTAGTAGTTAAAGACGTGAGCACTTCTTCCACCACTGCATTCAGAGACCCACACAGACAGTAATGTTTTCTAAATCACATATCCACACATTTCAAAAAGTTTATTTTCATTATTAATTGTGAACATTTATACAGTGAATATGAAAATATAAAATATGTACATAACATATAAAACTCTGGACATACTGGAGGTTTCATGCACAAAAGGGTCATTAGATCCTGACGTATGGTCATACAGATGTTCCCTTTAGTAATGAGAATAAAAATCCCTAAATTGCAATAATGTGGGTTTTACCCAACAGCAGCATTGTGTGACTGTCACAGCAGAGGTCAAAGGGCAGTGACAGGAGGGTTCATGATTGAGGGCACTCTGACTTTAGGTCGTAGATGTGAAAGTCAGTTTTCTACTGACTGGTATAAAAGGCAAATATAATACAGTGACAAAGCAACCCTGTTGAATGTTAGTGGTTTCTGGCAGATATTTATCGGCTGTACTGTGTACTGAGTCATTTATTGCATATTCACAAACTGTTACAGTCTGTTCTTACTTCTGTTCTTGTATTTTTATCTGTGACAAATAAAAACATAAGTACAGCAGCAGACTCAAATCTTATTCTCCTGCTTAAATTATATCTGTTTTTGCTTGAATTGAGGACACATTTAATGATGACTTACTCTTCCACTGTTTCCTCTGGTCTTCCTTAAACAACCCAGATGTTCTTTGTCCAGTCTGTATGTCTATTCATCCTTTCTGAGTCCAGGCCCAGATATTGCATGTAATACAGTAACAACATGCATCACTGGAGCAAACCTTCCCAATGCTCATGTTCATATTAAACTTGAGATACTGAAGGCAACCAGTGGTATTGTTGGGAGATACCCCACCTCATATTATTTCATATTATTTCAAAACTATATGTTTTTATCTATATTCTACACAATTTAAGCTTTTGAAGAATTTGAGTTTTTTTTAATAATAACAAATGCTGCATTTATCAGTCAATATGCGAGCTATATTTGTTAATGACTATGTAACAAATAACAACATAATTCAAGAATCTCAGACCTGTAACAGACTCAGATTTACAGTAGTAACGAGGTTTTTCCCTTTGTGCCTTTACATTATAACTGCAGGATAATAAATGTGCAGACCTGCTGACGTGCAGTCTTCTCTGAGGTTATGAGGGTTTAATCATGACGTTTTCATAGCAGGGCTCTGCACCTTCATTGGCGATTACCTCAGTGAGACTCGCGGCGTCTCCTGCTGGTCCCACAGTCTGGTAGTTGCTCTCAATTCTTACTGTACTGGGGTCAAAACCCTGCTGTGAGTCTCCCTCAGCCCTCAGATCTGACCCCGAGTCGGCTGAAGCCAACTCTGGTACGCTCTTCAAAATGGATGACAGTGGCCTTTTTGGAGTGGCGCTCTCTGACGAGGGAGTGTCACCAACAGCAGCTGCATCAGGGGAGTTGAGAGAAGCATGCTTTCTCCTGATTGGTTTACATATGCCTGCCTCCCTTCCAGTCGGCCCTCCCTGCTCCCACACACTCGCCCGAGTTCCGAGCTTCTTTCTGGGCGGTTTGGTAATCCCTTCAGCTGCCTTAGGCTTCGGCCTGCCAGATTCCTGCTCCCTTTGTCTCTGGAGGCTGCCGAGTCGTCGTAGCATGGCCTGAACGGGGCCTTCAGAGGTCGACACAGGCTTACCCGCCTTACCCACTGTCACGTACACTGTGGTGACCTTATCTGGGAGCCCTGCCTGAGCATCAGAGGCAGATGTGGGCAGCTGGGTCCCTTTATTAGCAGCTGTGTTGGACATTGTCCGTCTTCGTCCGGATGCCCCGGGGACCTGAAGCGTGGCCCGGGTTGGCGTTCTGTCTATTTCCTGGTCCCCTACATCACCGTTTGATTCCTGATTGTCTGTCGCCTGCACATCCACTTCATCCTCCTTCTCCTCACCCTCACCTCCATCTTCCTCCCCAGTTTTAGTTGCACTTCCCTGACTTTGGAGTGCAGACAGCATCAGAACCCCCCAGGGTGACTTGGGTTTGTTGCGTGGGTGTCCCGGGAGAGCGCTGGGGTCCTGAGCTGAGCCACGTCTCTCCTTGGGACTGAAGCGGGTGCCCTCAGCAAAAGAGACAGACGGCCTCTTGGACTTGGCGATGCTGGAGGTGCGAGGGATGTTAAAGGGCGAGGTGATGTCCTCACTGCTGAAGCCGGATGGGTCTAAGAACATGTTACACTTCGAACTCATCTCCTGGAACTCGCCGCCCGCCATCGCCGGGATGTCTGGGAGACAGAGACAGAAAAGTCCAGCGACGTGAGAAGACATGGCGAGGAAGTCTACCAAAAGAGAGCAATGTAAAGTTTGGTGTATCCCTGATCCTACCTTCTCTTGGAGGGACACAGTAGAGCGCCTCTCCCTCCTCCTCGTCAGTGTCGAAGGACGACCCCTCAGTCACCCAGCCAGAGGAAGGAGGCTCAATAAAGCTGTGGTTGAACGTCAGCTCTGGGTCATGGTGAGATACTGTGTGTGTGTGTGTATGAAAAATAGATTAATTCTAGTTTAATTCATTTAATTCCAGTAATTTGTCATGATGATCAACTTTTTTTACTTCTAATGTTACATAGTTATGGTGAGCTACTAATAGTAATAGTTCATGCAGTCTTTCCACTGAAAGTGAAGGTTTAAAAGCACTCAAATATCTCTCACTAAAGTGAACATGAAACACACTCTTCATTACTGAGCTGCAGGACTGACCGGTGACACGAGGCAGGCCAGAAGACCAATCAGAGATACAGGGAAGAGCAGAACCGATGTTAGCCAGGACGCTGTAGACGTGATACTTCATCCGAACTGACAAGCCTCCATCAACCACAGTTGCCCTGGAAAGAAGAAGGTTTTTATAGTCTAGAATTTCACACTGTGCTAGAGTTGAATTTGTGTTGATTGTACAGTTGAATCTCACTAAAATTAAAATCCTTGGTACTGAATGTCTTGCCACCACCCAAAATGTAATGATAATACCACAATTACCAATTCTAAGGAAGAATTATAAAGTGAATACTTCCAGATTCTGGGTTGTGTTATGTAAATATGGTTCTGTAGAGGGAAAAGACAAAAGAGGGCCTGGAAAGTTCACAGCCTGTCATGGCTAGAAATCCAAATAAAAGCCCTTTAATTTCACAAATGACAAATAATATAAAAGATAAAGTAAAAGCCTAAACTGCCTCCAGTCCAGTTCAAGGTAGTCCAGTAGTGTTTAGGTTTGTACAGTACACTAAGTGGATATAATGCTGAAAGAGTGAAGTGAGGTACAGACCCGTCTTTTCCATCAACGGGACCTCCTCCACAACACAAACAGCAGCAGAGCACAGCGAGGAGCAACAGGAGCAAAGGAACCAGCACACCAGCTAGTACAGAACCTCTGATACCTGATACACACACACACACACACATACAGAGACGTTAAGAAACATGTGATTCAGGCTCATACAATAATCCATGCGGCAACACACACAGATTTTGATGGAGGGACGTACTGTTGGGGCAGACACCAGTGACTGGGTTGCACTGGACCCCCTCGCCACAGTCACAGACAGAGGAACAGTTGAGGCCGAACTGCAGGGCAGGGCAGCTACTGTTACAGCTGGAACAAAACATACAATCACAGAATTACATCACAACAGCAAACATAAAATTCTGTCTATGAACAATGAATCATGATGTAGTTTAGTGTACAACAGACTGTAATGTCAAGTAAACATTGTGAGGAGGCCAGAGCATGTCAGAACGGCTGCCTCTGCAAAGTCTGATTGTGGACACCTTGACACAAGACCAGCTAGATATCCAGCCATGTCATTATATGAAAACAGCTTATAATTGCAGTGCTCTTTAAATGCAGACTGTTAAATCGCAGTTGCCAGTGGTTCCTTGAACGCATCTACAAGGAAGTATTATTGTAGGGGTTAATGGGTTAAAACATGTAAAAGAATAGCGCGTCACTCAGCAGCCTCGACTGAAATAATGTTTGTTTTTGGGTTAACTAAAAGCATTTTGTGTCTGTTTAAATATCTGCACAGAAATTAATCACATATGCTGTAATAAAAATGATGGACTTCTATCAATCTGCTCACCCAGAGGCCATTTTCAGGATATTATAACACACAACATGACTAAAAAAACAAAACATAGAATGAAACAGATTCATAATAGTTTCTCGCTTGTGTGGGTGGCTGTTTAATGATGCCAGTCAGCTCACCTCTCTCCCTGAAAGCCTGGCTGACAGACACATCTTCCTGTCACATGATGGCAGTTACCGTGGAAACAAGGGCTACACAGGAAGCTGCAGGCGTCTCCAAACGTCCTGTTAGAGCAGGCCTCCTCACACCTGGCAAGGCGGAGCGATGACACAAGGACACAAATAATGAGGGCGTCAAATGAACCAGCATTCATTATCTAATCCTAAACATCAATCTCACCACATGTACAACTTCTTAAACTCTTTTCCTTTGTAAATGGATATTAAAGATCAAGGAGCATTTTCACAGACTTAACTTTCAACCATTACCAAAGACCAAAGCATCACACAAGTGGTTTTATATGTACTAGCACATTAACTTTAAACTGCATAAACGTTATGTTACACCAAACTTTTTACAAAGAATACCGTAACGTTTTAAGGCTGATTTTTTTCCTTCTTCCAGGCAGCTATTTGTATACAGTATAAAAATCAATATGCAGAGTTGAAACTTACTCCATCACATGTTATCAGTAAATGTCAGTGCAGTTATGAGCTGTGACTGTACGCATGCTAATATCTTATGGGGTTAAGCTTAATATGTTGACAGGTTATAGGAGATCTCTACGACTGATGAAGGCTAGAATATTATTCTGATGTATTTTAATAAAACAATTACTAAGTAGGCTGTAATCATATAAACATATACACTTGATTTGGAAGTTCCTCATTGCCTTTGATATGTGATTTACTAATTCTATCTATAGAATTTGTGGGTCTAAGACAGCTAAGAAACCTTGTGTCATGCTTTGTAAAATGGTAAAACACAAAAAACCTACAAATGATTCCATAACCTTCACTGTAACTTAAGTACACAGTCATATCTGCCTCAAACACTCATGCACACCTGGGTCCGGTCCATCCAGTGTCACACCTCCAACATTTCCCAGTTTTTGGGTCACAGGGTTCATTATTCCTGCAGCGTGGACACTTCTCCTGGCAGCCGTCGCCATAAAAACCAGATGGGCACGGGCTGTCGCATTGTGTACCGTTCCAGCCGGGCTCACAGGCAGCACAGGCACCGTCGGTGGCAGAGCAGAGCTGGTGGTCTTTACAGAAACCACAACTGAGGACAGAAGATAGAGAGAGAGTCAGAAAGACAGGAACACGCAGGTATTTAGACAAACAAGTGCATCCTACCTTACACCTACCTCATTTTACAACCACTGCCATACTTCCCAGCTTCACAGGGCTGGTTGCAGAAGAGACCCTGGTACCCCGGGTGGCACAGGCACTGCCCGTTGGCCTGGTCACAGCGGCTGTGTGTGAGGTCACAGTTACATCGCCGGTCACAGCTGGGTCCCCACCAGCCTGACTCGCAGTTACATACACCGGTACGCTGATTACATGGCGACAGGTAGCAGTTGCAAGAGCCAGAACATTTCAGCCCCCAGTGGCCCCCTTGGCACTGACACCGGCCTGTCAGCTGGTCGCAGCCGGGGCCCACAGATCCCCCGCTGACGCACTGGCACGGCTTGGAGCAGGTCGGCGTCCACCAGCCCTCGTCGCACGTGCAGTTTCCATGGATGGGGTGGCAGTGGCCGTGCCGGGTGCACTTGCAGGTGTACTGGCACTGCGGCCCCCAGCGGTTGGCGTTGCAGGTGCACTCACCAGTGATGGGGTGACAGCGGCCATATGGGTGGCACGGGCATATCTTGCGACAGTCTGGAGCCCAGAACTCAAGAGGACAGCCTGGTAACAACCAAACAAACACAGGGAATACTACTTAATCTGCTTGAGTGCGTGTGTGCGGTCAGTTACTGTGTGTACTTTGTCTTAGAGGTGCAAGGGGAGCAGATTGTGTGTCCACCCTGAACTGGAGCACCTGGGCCCAGTGCTCCAGCACATATAAAAGCCCTCTCGTCCCTGTCAGCGCCTGCATCCTTTTTTCTTTGTTCATTCAG